CATCGATCGGTAATCCAGTTATCATTCGAAATAGATCATTGTGAACAGTTTATTGTGCTTGTAGATGTCTTAATCTTTACAACTAATACGGCATCGGTAATGTGTTCTTAAAAAAGAGCCATTCTATATATCTAATGCATCTAAAACGGTTATTACATCAAAAGCGTTAGCTTATTTGCGGACTGGGTTGTCCAAAAAATTCAAATGTAATATGTTTACATTACCAAAAGGCCTATTAAAATAGCTTTTGCGTTGCGTAATGATACATTCATTATTTGGGTGGAGTATTGTATTAATTTTGAGATACATCGGTAAATAGCAGGTGATCGGACTGCTGTGGATCCTTTACATTTGGCAGTCTTGATACAAATCAAGTCACTATAGTCAGGCTGAACGAGGCCGGATGCGAAATCAGTCATTTTGCAAAATGCCCTACAATCAGTTAACATAGTGACTGATATCGGCCCTATTATTAGCCTAAAGTCTAGATAATTTAACTCTAAGTAGGTGAAGGTAGGTAAAAAATTTTGAATGATCTTCATATGATACAAATTATTGAGGTACTCAAAATAACGCGCGCTACTGTATATGAAAGATTCGATTTGTAGCAAATCGAGAGAAATAGATAAGGGTAGTTGATAATGAGTTTTAAGCTTTCCATCATACGTTAAAATTATTGTTTCTTCAACCGATCCTGTCTAGCCTAGTAGTTATTATTAAATTCTTACTGGTTTATTCATCTTAACTTCGGTAGTTATAAATTGTTATATATGTTGTCGAACTTCGTTACGGGGTGAAAAATGACATGCATTCAGCCAATATTGCCATAGAATTTTTAATTGCCATCGAATTGCCCTTATGATTTTGCTTCTTTTCAGATATAATACTATTATGATTATCAATCATGAACTTTCCAGCTTATTATGTATAACGAAACTTAGTATTGTGATTGTAGACTTTTAGCTATGTTAGTAAGATGTAACTTTAACTGCTAAGAATAATATCTACGGAAATACTGTAGTTGTTTCCATATCGGATTAATGATGGTCCGCTGTAAAATATTGTCTTTGATAATAATTTGACTATGTGTAAATTAAGGTAGACTGTTGCTATGTTGATTATGGCTGTGACTGCTACGAAATGAATATAAGCTGGCAACTTAAACTATTCAGTTCGTTCTATCTAGAAGTCCTTCAATAGTTGTATTCGGCTATAGTAGAGCTGTGTGTAGCTAGTCTTTGTATTAGATCTAATAAAGTTCTAATTTTCTACAACTTTGGAATTTTCGTGATTGGATTTTATCACATTATGTCAAATAGCTTCATGTACTGTATAACAACCATATAATGAATCTAAATTATTTTCATTTCATCGCTATTATCTTCTCCACTTACTTTCAATCAGTTACAAAAGTGTGATTGGCGACTTTTTTCTGTATAGCTAAAGCTTGTATAACAATGGCTTGCTATAAAATAGCTGTAAGCTCTCATTATTGAGTAGCTTGTTGGTACTATTGCATTTAGCGAACTAATAAAGGTTTTATACTGTATCTTCATAAAACAGCCGTCAAGATAATTATTTAAACGATCATAAGAGTTGATAACATGCAATCAAGCAGATATAATACAAAGACACCAGAACATGACTATAACTTTAATATACTGTTGTATGATAGGAATCTAATTATTCATTTATCGTTAAAATGCGCTATAACGTCGTATAAATTAAAACAGCGTTGGATTACCAAAGTCAATATCGGTTTCGACTATAAGTACCATCCGTAGGGAGAGGCTATCATGATTACAATGGGGAATAGTTAGAAATAGTTGTGGTAGCATAATCCCTATGATGTGTTCATCCAATCTTAAATTACGAAACTGCGATTGGTATCATAATTAGAATAGGAATAATGAAACAAGTGCATTGAAGTGCTCTACTAATATGATGATATTTTTTTTCATCAAAATACGATACATAGTTGTTATTTAAGGAACAACAAAACACATTTATGCTACTGTCGCTGTAAATATTCTTTGCCAGTACTACTTATTATCGAGTTAGGTAAATTCTAGCGCCGAAAGCATTGAGGCTATTCACCCACTGTTACCTTAATAAAAAGTCAATCTACAGATTTCTGCCTTCAAGTCAATAGTTTATCAGACTTCTGATCTCGCTAGCTGATTATTATTTGCAACTTACTATAATCAATTATATTTTTTAGATCTTGCCTTATCTTTTATTCAACAGGTGCCTTAACGTTGATTGACGTCTAATTTAACAAGCTTTCAACTATGGCTAAATACTTTATGATGTGATGCTACAATAGAGAGTTAAAATGTATACCATTACCGTATGATAATGTATACCACTATGCGGCAGTCCTAACTAGATGTTATTGCGAAAGTAAGCGATTATATTATTTTCTATTTGGATTGTTGTTAGTAACATGACAAACAGCAATTGTGATGAGCATTAATAGAATGCTAATCAATCATTGGTGCAAGCTGTTCCCTCTGGCTAGTTTTTTTTTATATTAGTAATGCTTCGATATCAATCTACTCTGTTCTCACGGGTACAAAACTATTCTTCGAACTATTTCAAATGAGATTAAAAGAACTTAAAACAGAAAATAGGTATCTACATTAGGACAAAGTTCCTGGTTGAAGCAAAGCTATTGTCTGTTGTCATGACGAGACTGCTGATGTAGCAATAGCTTGTATGCGGACTAATAGGCATGGCTTATGATAGTATTTCCAATTGTTTTATTTGTAATTATTGTAGCCAGAATTGTTAGAGTTTATCATAAACATGAATATAATTACTGAGAATGCTTTCAATTATGAAAAGAATCAAATGTCAATTTTTAAATTATTTTGGAAAAAGCAAATCATGAATTCGATTTTTTTACAAATAAACGAAAATAGTGATAGCTAATGGGTATTATAAATCAGGAAGGAAGCCTCGCTCATTAGCAAAGGAATAGATTAACGTCTGCACATCTGAATGCTTTTAAGGCTTTTCTGGTGAATAATTTAACAATGTTGTTGTCATTTTATCCCTCGAATGTAGATTAAGATAGCGACAGTCATGGACCTTGATATGGAATATATAATTGTAATACGATAAAGGCAAAAAATCTTGCTTACTTTTATCGCTAATAACAATAATTGTGATTTCGATGACCAGCTCAGTTGACTATTACAACTAGCAATAGGTAATTGATTAATCTTTTAAAATTTAATTGCTCTGGATAAATCGTTTCTTTTACAATAGTAATGATAATGGAGAAATAATAACATTTATATCTAAAAGGGGCTATTTGTTGTTAATGCAAGTATTTCTTACGTTTCATTTAGGTTTTATTTGTGCTAAAGATATTATACTATCACTAACAATTATTTCTTTCTGCTCCATTTTATTTTCACATTATTCGCATTGTTTTACATTAACTACACTTCTAGGCAGTACTTTATCCTGTTTTAAATGTAACTTGCTTATTCAATCAATTTAGAATTTATGCATATAGTAGCATATATTAGACTGAATTATAAATCGGAAGAAAATCATTCCCTTATCTCTACCTAAAATCACGTTTGCAAATGAAAAGAAATATAATTTTATCTATATTATGTGTAGCGTAGGAACTTGAACAGCAATGCCTGAGCATCGTATTTCGATTGGCTATTATTGATAAAATGCAGGCGTCTAGTGATGATTTAAATTAAATATTATAATTTATAACGGTCAAGCTAATAAGTAGCAAGGAAATGCCGAAGCAATTCTGATTAATCTCATTTATTTTTTACAATTAAAGCTATAATTTACTCCATCTGACAGTTGTCAGGGTGTTCTAGATTTAAAATAATTTTTATTACAATATTGTTATCCAGTTAATTCTCTTCTCATCAGTGATAGAATGAATACAGAGGATACCATTACCCTATAAAAATAATTGATGGACTAATTGATAGAATTTGTACTCCAAAGAGAACATATTTTAAAGTTATATACAGATATCAAAAATAGGTTAATAGATTAAAAGGAATGATAAAAATTCTATTCTAAGTTTGACACAGATTTTGAATATGGTGATTAAATTTGAAGAGTAACTTCGATAACAAACAGCTGCAATGCGCAGTATTAATTCTATAAAAACCTGATGTTTTAATGAGAGACACATTTATTTTCATCGATAAATCAAGCACTAGAGCAATTATTTAAGACTTGTTAAGAAATATTACCATCTTCGCGCATCTTGTTATGAACATAACTTCTCTTAGAACAGAACTTGCAGTTAAGTTAGATTTTACAGTTTATAAATGGATGGAAACTATCAAGTTCGTATACAATCAGTTGAAATTATTTACATTGTGATCAAAATTTATTTCTTTATAGGATTGAGACATACAGCAGTAAGTATGATTTACATACTATTATAGGGGTCATCAACGCGTTCATATCCACTTAGACTTGGAGGAGAGTTCATGAAAGTGATTGATTGATCATCATACTCATCAAATAGATTTTTATATCGAAGGCTTGCACTCTTCTTATTGTTCATTGAAGTAATGTCATGATTATGAGCAATTATATTACTTTCGCTAGGTCTAGTAACAATGCTCTGGTTGGTGTAAGGACGGTTACACGGATCGAAAGGGTTCTGAAAATCATTTTCGTTGCATTACAGATCCATCTCAAAATTTCTCAATTAGATAAGTGCGTATGCTAATGATCTACTTAAGAAAACTTAAAATAGCTATCACAGGCATTAGCCATTAAATATATTCCATACCAGTGAATTACTTGAACCGAAATATAAGGAATCATAGTTACTTGCAGCAGATGCTGCATTGCTATGGTCAGTTGCCTTTGGGAAATTAGGATCTGTAGATAAACCTGATATTCGAATATAGAATTATAGCGTTTTACGAAACTGAAATCTAGCTGCATCAGATATATAACTCCATAAGTTGCTTTACTGCGAAGATAAAATTAAATAGACAATAAATTTAATAGATACTCTGTGACCTGAAGTAGAATTTTCTTAACTACCTATGTTCCTATTTGGCTGCATAGTTTTCGAGATAGGCCATATCATTGTTGAGCTTAAAGATATTCTACTGTGTTACGATAGGTAAATTTATAATTATGAAATGAAAGTCATTAAAGTATGAGGAGTACCAGTTTGATTTACCTAAGTAACCTATAGCGTAAGATACAAACATCCAGGCTGAAGATTCCTAATACAATTACACCGAAAAGTACGGAAATTGTTGGATATCCTAAAAATGGATGAAGAAACAAACTGAGAAATATGCAATTGGCTAGGTCCTCAATGTTCCATTCTGTTCTTGTCAAGATAAAAATTCGATAGACGCTATCCGATACTGTTCCAGTAATCTTTATTATAGATGCCTTACCGTCGAAAGATACAGCTCCATAGTCAAGATTCAAACAGGTTATCTTAAAGGTAACAACTAGGCTTGCTGGATTATGACGTTGTCCCAAAAGTTCAGTAACTTGCGTGGAACCTTCATCGATGACGATTATTTCTTCGAATTTGTCAATGACGGTATAAGAATAGTCTGGACCAGTCCCATCACGGTCATATACCTCAACTCGGACCTTTAAGTACCCCTTATAGATTAATATTATGTCGTAGTATTAGCATAATAAATTTGAAATGATTTATATAGGTAGAATTTTAAAAACATCTTAATATCACTTCTTTACATTGGTTTCTTCTGCTAAGATTATATAGTACTCGTATGTTGCTACGATTAAAAATATTCTTCATGGGATTTTGATCTGGCGTGCGCAAGTTTATAATCGTGAATACCACTTTAACTAGTTTAGGAGTTATGATATTGGCCGTGCTACCTTTTTCTTGTCCGAAACTCCGTTTTCTCTTCAAATTTAATTTAATTGTTGATTGCAATTTCAAAGAGTTATTTCCCTGACTATTTATCACCGATTCTATTGATGAATCCTATATTTAACAACTTTATTCTTTACAGATAGAAAGGGATTGCAAGCATCTCGAAACGTACTCCACGGAATAATATTTGGATACAATGATTCTAAACATTCTTTATCCACAGTTGTAATGGTATTTCAAATTTTCATAGTTTAAGCTCTAATTAAAAGCCGAAGGAGTGCCTTTATCTTAATTAGATTTATCCATCGATTGATCTACATGGGTTGGCTGGCAGTCTACTCTGACATTCTCATCATCAAAGCTCTTAATTATACTGAGGAATCGTGTCGATACTATCGTTATATAAACAAAAATTGCTATATTCGATGGCGTGTGAATTGGTAACATAATATATTGTCTTAACAATGACTGACGACTATTGTTACGATCTTGTTTTTATGTAAGATAAAAAGAGTGAAAGATAACTTATTGATTTCTATTTAGTCCTCATGAGAAAAAGAGTTTCTATCCCGTTTGATGTATTAATTTAGGGTGAAGATAATACACCTTACATAGCAAACTGGAATGGTACGCTATTGGGCTCTGCCGCTTTAAAAATATTGCTAATTCAATACAAGTAGTAATATCTATGCTTGGCAAGGTGGAGATAGAGTGCGGTCAAGATCAATTATAATAACAGGCTATTCTCCAAATCTTATTCTAAGCCTTATTATGATTCGTCACAATTGCTAAGCTATTCATATGAAACTAGTTACAATTATTTTTAGATCACTTACAAGCCAAGGGCCGGAAAATGGTATCGCTACGGGTGTCTTGATTAACCCATCATCACTTAATTGTTGATCAGGATGGAAATCAAGTGGGGAAAAATAGGCTAGTGTTTTGGATCGAAATTTCCAATATTTGGTACTATTAGTAAAGGTTCCTAATGTTATCTGGAATTCATACTCGCAAGGATCGGCTATGTTATTATCACAGTAATTTCCAGAGTTATCTTTATCATCGACATTAGTAAAACATTCTAAATTGATCATGATGGTTCCACCAGGCATAGACTTTTGATTGTTGACGATAATTAACGCCTAATGAAAAAGATGCAAAGCACTCTATCGTGATTTTCATTTTAGCAATGATTATAGTGGTTGAGTAATATTTGGCAAACGCTTGCCTTTTCAGTATCTTTAATTATGGTGCAATCAAGGTGTTAAGTTAAAACAAATAATCGAAAAGTATTTTCTGTCATCATTTGTTGAAGGAAACTGTTAAGAGTAATATTATGACTAAAGATAGATAACTGTTAGTCCTGCAGAGTATATTAAATTTATTGTAACTTTTATGGCAGTGGGAAATTTTACTGCTACATCTATTACAGATAATTCTGTTTTAAACATGACATAAACTTCATTCCTATTTATACGTGAAATATCACTACAGAAAAAAAGAGATGATGCAATTTATGCCATTAGTCTAAAAATAACTGTCCTACTTACGTTCAAAGTGCAATACTTTAAATAAATTTCTTACGATAGATTAAATTATTAAAAACTATAATAGCTAAATATTTCACTTACCAAAACTGAGAGAACGAATAAATTTATAGTGATCATCAGTGTATTTTTTATAGCCATTAATGCAAACTTTCGGTCAATTGCTAATGATCTTTCACTGAAGCAATTAGTAAACATTTCGGTATGTATCTGATAATTTATAGGTGTTCGATTCTTTGAAGTTGGCTTATACCGCTCTCTCTTTATTGTCTTTCTTTTAAAGCTAACTGTATTGCTTACCTGAATCCTTAAAATAATTACAGTCTTTTAGCTTATATTATTATTATCTGTTCTAAACGAAACTTTCTCCTTTAGTTTGATTGCTTTAAATTCACAATAGCGATCAATAACAAAAGCATCTCCTCGATATGTCCTAGCCATCAAATGAATGTTGTCGAATTATAATCGTCATAGCATTGCTGTTTACGTACAAACCAGGATCCAAGTTATTCTATTCGTGGCAATTGTCCAGGATCCTTTCTTATAATTGTTGTATTCATCGATAGGACAGTATACGTGTATTTAGGAACTCCGAAGCCGTGAGCTCTCTAAGGATCTATGCTTGACCAAAGCTTATTTAATAAAATTTCTTCCAAAGATCAGGGGGGGTCTTTAACTCCGATATAGCTAGCTGTTGCTTAATTTGGGGACAGGTAATTACCAAATTTTAAAATACAGTACTTTACACAACAAAGAGAGCAGATATACTACTGGTCGATATAACCAACTGTTGCTTAATTTGGAGACAGATAATTACCAAATTTTAAAATATAGTACTTTACACAACAAAGAGAGCAGATATACTACTGGTAGTTTTACTCTTTGCAAAAATACTGTGAAGAAAGCGACTACGGCCCGGAAGTGCTTTTCAGCTCGACGCTGTTTACAATCAATAGTATAGAAAATGCGAAGAAGTTTACTTTCATTCATATTGCATTAAATATCTGCTTATAAGTTGAGAATTTAGGCAAGCATTATCCAAACATAAGTGAAAGCTTTTCGCAAATTAGGAGAAATAATTGATCAAATCAACTATCCAGTCATTGCTATTCTAGACAAGTTCATGGATTAGCAAAAGATAACTTCATGCATGACCTATTTCTCTTGTGAAACTTCAGAATAGCTCGCCTCCCATTGTTCGAGTAGATCAATAAAAAAATAAAAAGATACAAATATATATATATGAGTACATAAATACCTCATATTATAGGGATAAGAACTTTTCAGGATATCTTACAAGGCGTGAGACCACCGGGTAGAATAACATTCATGAACTCCTATTACATTCTATGTCCTTTGTAGTCAAATCGTGGTAGGGTCCAAATAAATAAAGTCTACATCAATGCCGTAAAACAAAATAATATTTGCCCCCTTTGGTTTCTTTAAATTTTGATTTATTGAAACTTTTATTTTGCAACGTTAGCTTTTCTCATAAACCACAAACTACACTTCTTGAGACTCTCAAAGCTCAAATTTCGACTCATAATAGTCATTTTATGAATGTTTTTACTTAATTTGAGTATACCTTTAAAAATGATGGTAAAGATTGCAAGTCGGACAACACCTCAAAAAAATTTTCACCGTTTTTATGAGATATCCACAGGTAAAAAATTATCTTCGACGATATATATATAAACTGAAAGTATCGATTTTGAATTGATACTAAAAGTACGTAGATGTAATGCAATAAAACTATCATTAAGCATACCAAGATTGATTAGAAGTAAAATTAAAATGGCAATTCTCACTCATGCCATTCGGCACTGAAACCATTATATCAGTTTTATAGGCCGTTGACCTTTATTATTACTATTGCTTTGTCATTGAGCTACAATCCGCATAAACTACGAAACATTATTTCCTTTAAAATCAATTCTAAACAATGATTTCATTTACTATGGTCTACATAGAAATAGTGACCTGTATTAATTCTTTTAGTTGGTACAACAGGCTGTATAGTCTTCGAAATAGCAACTAAGAAGCCTTTTTTGCGGAACATATTCGTTTTATTATTTTTACTTATATAAAAAATTGACGGACCTTTAAAAGAAAATAATAGTGGGTGTTTTTCTTTTGTCCAACGAAGATGAAAGACTAATTTAAGAAGTTTTTTTGGTTCAATAACGTAAAGCAGCAACAAGTAAAGATAATGTCGTTATAAATTAAGAAAGATAGCAAGTCAAGAAAATCAATAAGCATGGTAATATTGAGGTAATTGCCCTCTAGCAGAAACTACATGTATATGTACGAGTATAGTCTACAAGGAATAATTATTATTTCAGTATAAAAATCGCTTTCTAAACATGATGTTTAAGTTTAAATATCACTTTCTGTTCCACTATACAGTTAGTTTAAGATATGTAACAGCTATGGATTGTGGCTTGATTAGGATTAAAGCAATAATAAGAGCTAAGTTTTTTCTCTTAAAGTTTTAAGTGCGTCAGCATAAAGTCTAGAAAGATGCAATAGCATACCGTATATAATAAAACACTAAAATCACGATCTGCAAGATAGCTCTTAAGAAATCGATTTCAATGGTATATATTCCTCTTGTTTTCTACATCATTGAAAATTCTTTTATTTCGCTGCAGTATTTAAAAATGGTAGCAGACTTAATACAATAGATTGGAAACTACGTCTAATAGTAGTGATAAGCATTATTCATATTGAGCGTAAGACTTTATCGCAAGACTTCATTGATAGGCTGTCTCGAGATTCAATTTCGAAATAGGAACCTACAGTTGAACAGCTTACAGCATATAATTCAACACAGTGACAGTCTCAACAGTGATCATCGATTCTTTCTACTTTAATCGCTTCAAGTATTGATAATTTATGGCTATATAGCAATAAATTGAAAAGTTGCAAAATAAATAGAATCTATAAGTACCTTACTATGAATAGGATAGCTACCCAACTGCGTTTTAATTGTCTATGGTAGCATATTGTTCATATGATTTTTATTGATGTCATTGTCGTAATTCTTCGAAAGGACTTCCCTAAATTATCTCTTAGAACCCAGATAGTCGGCACAATAATCAAGAAATAACTCAATTACTCCTTAATAAAGATCTACGAGCCTAATTAAGTTATTTGTAATGAATTCGGGATTTTCTTGAAGCAGACTTTACCTAAGACTGCAGTGTATACTTTTAAATACGGATTAGTCTATTCTTAGTAAAATTAATTTTCACATAGATTGTATCGTAACTCCTTATTGGTCTAATTTACATTTAACTATTCATACTGAGGAAATCTCTTATAATCTAGCTTGATTGTATTGTAGAACTACCCTAATATAGAATTAAGTTATTCATAAGTCATTCGTGATTTAAGAAAGATTTCCTCCTGCTGTGCTTCTTATATTATAAAAGCGCTAATCTTGCATCTATCTCGTTAGTTAGTCCTGCTAGTTACACGGTAAGCTTGCACAGTGTAATGCACACTTTACCTATTCTACATTATAATAGCTATTCGACTAATGATGTCGTTGTACACGCTATGACCTTACACAGTTTTCCTCATGGCACTAATTCCAATAAACTATACTTCCCTTCTAATTTAAGTCTGGTAATTTAATTGCAATTACTGATCCTAAATCTACCAAAATATCACATTATTAATCACCTACTTCTATCCATACTCTAAAGATACCGAACTATTTAGCTTAAAGTTAAAACAGCTATCAGTATATATGCTGTTAAAATTGAAGTATTGCAACACGATGAGTGTATGTTCTGAGTTACAACAGCCATCAATATGCCTACTCTTAAAATCGAAATATTAACATAATAAGTGTATGTTCTATCAGTTTTGTAAAGACATAAAAGGTCGTTTCTATTGTCTGTATATCGGCATTTACTTGTATTGGACTTATTTAAGAAGGCATAAACATCCATCTAAAGGTTAAAGGCTATTAGTGAGCGTACATTCTTCTTTTAGCGATATAAAATACGAATGTAAAATAATAGGGGTTAATTTTGAACTATTATGTCTGATTCTATTGGGTCTTGAGGCAGTGTTCACGGCAAACCTGTAAAAGGAACGGCAATGATTTCAGATATTGTAAATTGCTCCGAGTTGTAGACTGTATGAATTTTCGAAATGACTATTGTAGTATAACAATAAGCCGTATTTATTGAAGATAATTTTATTTTTAAAGAGTGACCATCAGCCGACCAAATGTAGTTGCATGCCAGTCACGCTACATGATAGTTTATATTTTCAGTATGGTAATTGTTTAAATGAATTCTTTCTCTAATCTGCAGCCACTTCTCAGTAGGAAGTAAGACTTCATATATAATCTATGAATATTACAGTTCATTATTCTAAAATAACTACAATGTAACTAGATAATAGCCGTATATTAAGTCTAATATAATTCTTACACATAAAAAAGTTTTCGGACTAAGGAAATAGAACGACTATTCATAGTTCCGATTTATAAATTGATTCAAAGGATTAAGAACATGTCTATTTATTCAGGATTAATGGTGTAATCAAAAATTTTTAGCACTGTAAGCAATAAAGGCCAGCTATTTCAGTAGATACGGACGCTAAAATCTGTCAACATGCAAAGTATATACTCTAAATTATACAAAGTCATCTCTATGTAAAAATATATTGTACTTTTAGCAGAACGTGCTTCTACCTGGACGAGGAGAGAAATTTGCGAGTTAGCGTGCAATTAGTTAGAGTACAATGTCTTTTCATTACTGCATGGATGGTTCTTGACGACTTTCTATCATAAATATACACCCAACTGATATTCAATTTTACAATATTAAAAAATTATAAAGAATTACTGCTAGCAGCTTAAAGTCTATGCATACATATTATAATTCTAGTAGGTGCAACAGAATATATAGTTATTTCTTGTATTACGATTTTATCGGCGATTTATTATGGATTTGGAAGATATAAAAAAACTATGTAATTGCTTGATTACATACCATTATTAATAGCCGCTAATGTGTTTGTTTGACTTTGATTGAATGATGTTGATAGGCAGATAGATAAGCTAAGTTGGATAGAATTAAAGGATTGTAATTAACCAAATCTATCATCATTCACTTAGTTTTATCTTATGTACTGTACACTTTACAGGATTCTTCAATTAATTATATAATATAGTATTA